TCCTTGGCAACCATTTTTGACTTGTGTGATATAAAAAACAAATACACTGGGCACAAATTCTGGTTCCACCATTTTATGGCTATATGACCATGGGCAAATAATGGATTCCATCTGAGCTCAGTCTCCTCAGTCATAACATGCAGACAATAATGCCCTGAAGTGTTATGATAAATGCTGAATGAGGTCACAAATATGAAGTCTAGAAATGTTGTTATTTAAAAAACTTCTTCTAGTATGTGTGTATGTATGTCACATGCATGAGTATTATATTGTGTATGCATACCTTGAAATTAGCATAGACTCATAGTTTTTATTAGATGACTCAAAATTCTGTTAGATGAATTTCTCATTTAAATTTCAAAGAGAAGTTTTGGTGAGTAGTCCACATACTGGAATTATTAAACACACACACACAGGTCTTAAATAAAATTTCTAAGAATAGTTAGGTCATCAGATCATTATGCTATGTGAGAGGCACTGTCTTTTCCTTTTTGTATGACCTCATTGAGGATATATTTTAGAAACTCTCTAATCCTCCTTGGAAAGATGGTGACAGGTGAATGTTGTAACAGAATAAATGAAATGGGGATGAGTCACATACAAGGGGATAAATTCAGCATATAGTTAAGTCAGACAGCCAATACTGTTAGGATATATGAACACTTTAGGGGATATGTTAACAAAAATCTTAAAAGCATTTATTGATTAAAGACCATGTAAGAATATAGCATTTGAAGTATTCCATTGTGAAGAATCATGTCAGAATGAATGAGTTCTATTCCAGGATCTTATTATTAAACATTGTAACTGGTAGCTATCTGACAATCATGGTCATTTTCACCTGGAAAGCCTTATCGTCGTGATGAGGGAGAACATTGCTCACCTACACTGAAACCAGATCATCTTTAAGTGAGACATTCCATCTGTGTGATACTGTAAGCATAAATATTTATAGGGAAATTGCTAACATTCCTGGAATGAGGAACTTAGGGACAGAGTCAAAAGGAATCGAAATTCAAAGAAGAATTTACCTGGACATCCCAGAATGCTTTGGTGAGGATCAGGGGATATCCTTTCCTCTTCAGGTTGGAGATATACTATTGTCCAGTCCCTTTTTGTGACAAGGCAGAGAAGAGAGCATACCTTGGCAATGACTTAAGTCTCTGCCATCTTTTAGGAGGGTAGACTTTAGCTTTTCTCTTGGAAGCTTTGATGATTATTAAACCAGGACTTCTGGGAAGGTCCCTGAAAATCCTGTCAGTTCGATGGGGGTACAAATGAACTTAGCTTTAAATCAACTATTGTCACTGGACAAATAATAGACTCTTCTCTTTAGAATATTGTGCTTCACTTATCCATTGCTACACAAAAAACTATTTCAAAACTTTCTGGCTTAAAACAACCACCACTTTGTTTGTTCACAGGTGAATTTTGGGTTCAGAATTGTAGGAATGGCTTGCCTCTGCTCTGTATTTGGGTCCTTAGCTGGTCAACCTGAATGGCTGAAAACTAAGTGGAATGAATGGCTGGACCTGAGTTACGCATCTAGAGCCTCCATGATGGCTGTTGGTTGGGTTTCTTATTTTTCCCTTATGTGGCTTCTCCATGAGGTTAGCTTAGACTTCCTCACAGTATGGTGGTCTCAGGGTAGTTGGCTTTGGTGAAGGAGCATTCTAAGAGGAGAAACTCTAATGCACAAGCATTTATTAAGCCTCTCTGTGTGTCATGTTTGCTGATGTTTCATTGGTCAAATCAGGTGACATGGCTAAGCCCAGAGAAAACGTGGGAGGGACTACAGAAAGGCATGAGTTCTGATGGTACAGATTTATGGAGCCACCAATACCTATGATATGCTCAGATAATAATTATTTAATATCCATTTTCTGTTGTGAAAGACTAATAGACATATGTGTAAGTATGGTACAATATTGCTTAAACCCCATAAAAAGTATTAATGGAATTATGTTATTTCTATCCCAAAGAAATGGTATTCTATATTATTCCACACAAAGTCAACTTTTTCCTCCCTTTATTATTGGTGTATATTAGTCACACATAGTAAGGGGTTTCATTGTGATATTTCCATGCATGCATGTAATGTATGTCAAGTAAACTTTTTAAGTCTCTATGCTAATAAATAATTTAAGTCTACCTGCAAAGAACATAAAAAAATCAGTTTTTATCATCTTCCTCAAGCTCTTATATTTGGTTTCAGCTTCAGAGTTCATGCCTTATTTTGACTTTTCAATGGTTCATACATTTAGACTTGTCATTTTAAATTTGCCATGAATTCTTCAAAATATATGATGTGTTCTTCAATTTCTTTCAGTTTCCTTGTACTGGAGAGACTGGAATGGAGGACCGAGCTACACTTTCTAGACTTTAGTTTTCTCATATCTTAGAAAGGAAGATTCAATCAGTTTATTTTTTTTTTGAGACAAGGTCTTGATATGTAGCCCAGGTTGGCCTCAATTTGAGCTCCTCTTGTCTTGGCCTCCTGAGTTCTGAGATTATCTGTATATGCCACCACGCCCAGCTTTTTTAATCAATTAATTTCTATGTTTTTTTCTAATGCCAACAATTTTTACATTTGAACTTAACATGCAATTCCTTGATTTACTAGTAGAGAAATATAAAATATGAATTGTAAAGAATACTAAAAAATCTGATATTTCTTCAAGGAAAAAATTTCTTGTATGTTCCTAAATTAAATTTTTTAGTCACTTGACTTAGAGATGTTTTCCTTATGAGTCTCTTATTTCCATCTGCTACTATTTTACTTTTCTGTGAAAAAAAATTCTAAGAGGTAAAGGAAATAAGGAGGCTAAAATAACACAGCAAATTTCCATCACAGGAACTTATTACAAGAGATTAACACCTTGCCAAAATACTTGATTATGCACCAGAAGGAGATTTTGTTAGACTTAGGTAGAAGTATGTTTGGAAGGTTTGGTGAAATGCTTGTTGAAGTAAGGCATTTGTCCTACTTCTAAGTTTTTATTCAGCTATATGTCCTGAAAGCAATTCTCTATAATTCTATAAAATGTAAGAGTTTGAGAATGACATGAAGGAAGGTCTTATTTTTTCTATTGGTGCCATTAATTCCTATGGGGAGTATTAAAAATTAGCAATATGGACAGCATATAAATAAATAAGAAAACAGTTGCCTGAAATGACTAAAGCAGGTTCTCAAATTTGAGTGAACATTGTATTTACTTGAGAATATTGATACTGGGGTCACAACCATCAAAAATCTTGATTTAATTGGTATAGAATATAGTTTGTACATTAGAATCTTCAAATTTCCCTAGATGATCCTGAGGTGAACCACGTTTGAACCCGAGTTAAAGAAACTCCCATGGACCTCTTTCTCTTACCTACTTTTTGCTACCAGAACTGGAGTTCTTGTTCCCTCCTTGACTTTATAACCTCTCCCTGAAATATATAATTGCTATATCCCTTAATAATGAATTTTTATGAACTGTATGTGTTTTTTTAAGGGGGGGTCTGTCTACCTCCTATGTAGCCCAAGTTGCTATGTAGCCCAAGTTGGCTTCAAACTTATGATCCTCCTCTTCAGCTTCCCAAGTGCTGGGATTACAGGTGTGTACCACTACATCTATATGAAGTTTTGTGAAGTTTACATCTCAATTTCATACATCATCAACAGGGTAGGTGTACAAAAAGAATAGTGGAAAATTAATCTACAAAGCCATATATTTGATTAGATTGAACACTATCAGATGGATAAAAGCACTCAACCATTTTAGCATACTATAGGTAAATATCTTGACCTAAATATTAAACTCCAAAATAATACTTCATACTTCTCTGGAGTAGCCAATTATTTGTTTAGTTGGGTTTCAGGTAATAGCATAATAATTTCTATTTACACAAAGCATTTCTGGAATGAAAATAATAGAATTTATTTCTACCTTCTTTATGTAGGTTGGGTGTGTTTGTTAAAACCAAATATAAACAGAAACTTCTTTAGTTGATAACTCACCTGAACACACAAGAATTAATCAATTTGTAATGGGTGTTTTGAAAGATTTTTTAGGTGGGCTGTTTTAAATGTGGGAGAAAGATGTTTCTTTGTGACTTAGAGTCAAAATTCATGCCATTGTCTCTTTATTTAAATAGTTTAATTTCTCTCTACTTGCCTCTCCTTAGTGAAGCCAAGGCAATTCTTTATTGATATGGTTACCATAACTACAGTTTGTCTGGGAATGGGGAGTTCCCTGGGAAAACTGGGAAGAGTTGATTGTCTTAATTTATACAATGAAAATTAGTAAGACTTTAGGGACACTTTAGGTCATTGGATGAAAATGTTATAATTCATATGTTATAATTTGCTATTCCCAAATAGCAAATTAGCTTTAATTCTCATTGAGGTCCTTCAGCTCCTTTTCTTTTTTCAAAGTAAGATGGAATAACTTTTTGGTCTCTCACATTCTCAAAGAAGCTTTCTGGGCCTCCTTTCTCTATTTCTTCCCAACTCCTTTCTGCAGGCAGAGCCTGGAAAACCTCATGAGCCACACATCTTCCCTGGGCTGTATAGCTCAAGGGTAACAGTTCTGCCTAGTGTTTGGCTGCTGTGGACACTTTTGAAGCATGGAGAGACCTCTTAATGGTTGATGCTCTGAGAACCTCTCATTAGAATGAGTCTTGAGGTCCTGCCTTGCCTTATGATATAAAAAAGACATGATGCAGATTCAGTGGCGTTTTATTGGCTAGAAGCTAGATGCATATTGACAGGAATCTGAAGTTTATAGTAGGAAAGCAGAGTTTTAATGTCATAAATTTATACTTTGGCTAAAAAAGTCCACGAGTATAGTAAGATAATATGGGAAGTCTTTTGAGATTGTTCCAAAGGAAAAAAAAGTTTCTAAGTTTGATAACTCCAAGGATACCTTTGAGAACTCACCCATTAGTGCCTAGGCAAGGACTTTCCATTGGGAGAAAATAGTTTTTACAACAGGCAGAAACTTTTATTGGCCTCACGCATGCTTTTGGATCTCATTCACTTGAGAAAGAACTATTCTTCCATTGATACTCTCCTGTGTGATGGCCTTGATCGTTGAAGTTGCAGATGCTGAGGGAAAGATCACCAAAGAGGTCACTGCCAGGTGTCCCCACCACCTGAACTGTGCTCATTTTCAGTTCCCTGCTCTCAGCCTCTGCTGGCTCTATGTGTCTTGTAAAATATCCACTAAGCAATATGGTGGACTCTGCTGAAGGGAACAGGAATGACAGACACTACAGAGAACTTTTCCTCCACCCTCCAGGAAACAAAGGTCTATGAACAATGTCACCTTCTGGAGATCAAGACCTTCATCCTAGGTGTATCTGGTATGGGAGCTTGTCTCTGGCCACAAGTATGTAAGGACTGCTTTTTGCCGATATGACTTTGTGATTCTTGCATCACAGATTCTGTGAGCTTACAGATCCCTATAAGCCAATTGGGACATCTCATTTTGAGATCTAGAAAACACGACATGTGATGGGTAAGTGAGAAACCAGGTCTGTTTATTATGGCAACAGTTGCCAAAGATATGCTTTATTTGAATAAATGTCTTGCTGACATGTCAGTAAACTAGTTCTACACTACAGGAAAAAGTTGAAGTCAAATGTTTTGCCCAGTAGTTTGGGTTATCCCATTAAAAACTGGGTTTCCTATCCCTGGACATGTCTAAGGGGAGCCTGAAGGGCCAACTGTTGCATCTTGCAGAAGGGTAGCAGTTACACCAGCTGTTCTGTGGTGATTAGCCCAACTCTGCTCCTCTGAATCTTTAATACCTTAGAAATATTTTTTCAAAAACTAATGTGAAAGTACTGCTTGATTTAGACTGAGAAGTACTGGAACTTTTCTGTGAGATGTTAATGGTAATATGTGAAAACAAGTCTCCCATGTTCTAGATGGTTGGGGGTAAAGCAAAACTTTTGCTGTTGTTTCTTTCTTTTTTTTATTACTTTTCTTCATCACAGCAGTACTTACTCCATTTTTAACATATGGTAAGGCAACATTACTGTTCAAGAAAATGGTATACAGTGTTCCCGACCTTATCTGATAGAACATGTTTTTCAGAATACCTTAGTCACAGCTCATGGAACTGCAGTGTTCAGCAGAATTAAGTTTAAGAAGTGGTGTGATTTAATTTCCTCAGAGTTTAGGAAGCAGACCCCAGTTATTTAATAGAGATGTAATACTACCAACTAATACATATTAATATATTTTACTGCTTGCAAAGAGCTTTCATATACAGGTTGAGCATCCCTTATCCAAAAAAAGTCCAAAATACAAAATGCTACAAAATCTGAAACTTTTTGAGCACTGATATGATGTCACAAGAGGAGAATTCCAAACTGTTAAACTTTGTTTCGTGAAAAGATGTTTAAGATATTGAGTAAACTGGGTGTGGTGGTTCATACGTATAATCATAGCTACTTGGAAGGCAGAGATAGGGAGGATTGTTGTTGGAGGCCAGCCCAAGAAAAAAAGTTGGTGAGATCCCATCTCAATCAATAAAAGCCCATGCCTGCCATCCCAGCTACACTGGAAGCCTAAATAGAAGGACTGCTATCCACATTGGTCTGGGCTACAAAAGTGAGACCCTATTTGAAAAAAGTGGTAGAGCACCCATCTGGCAAGTGCAGGGTCCTGAGCTAAAACCCCAATACTCTCTCTTTCTCCCTCTCTCCATATATATATACATATATAAAATATATGTACACACATATGTGTATATGGATATATGTTGTATAAAATTATCCTCTAGTCCTATGTATAGAGCATCAGATGTACATAAAACATAAGAAATTTTTTTTTAGTCTTGGGTCCCATCCTTAAGGGTGTTCAGTCTTGGGTCCCATCCTCAAGATACCTCATTATGTATATAGGCAGATGTTAAAAAAAAGTCTGAAATCAGAAACACTTCTGGTTCTAGGCATTTTGAATAAGGAATACTCAACCTGTGTACTATTGAAAATCATAATGAGAACTCATTTTGTTCTGTGTTACTTAATTTGTTAATTGAAAGTTCCTGGCCATTTGGGAACAAAATAAAAATTGAACCAGAATTTTTGGCAGTACAGTAAGGATTATGCCTGCTATAGAATGGATAAACATGTTGATTCATTAAGAAAAAAAGTAGATTCAAACAATGGAAGATTTTTCTTACCTTTCATGCTTGACTTAGATTCTTCCATTGTCCTATAAATGTGAGAAAGGTTAAAGTTCACTTTAGTATTAGCAATAATTATAAAAACTCAGCATGAACTACCTTCTTTGCCTGCTTATAAATTCTATCAGCTCTTTAATGAGGATAATTGTCTGAGCTCATCAATGTCAAGATCAAGAGTTCATGGGAGAACACTCTTGGATCCTGAAGGCAGTGAGGAATGCCTCCCACTAACCCTGGGGTCAGAAGAAGTCTCTCAGACCATCTCCTCCTTCTTTTTTAGCTTGCTGTAGGATTTTCCAGGATCCCTTCCAGGGTGAGGGTCTCAAATTCGGATTCCCGGAGCTTCTCAGTCTGATCAAAGTTTGGTTTGTTTTATTTAATATGGTGAAAAAACTTTGTATGGTCAGCCATTATTTCTTGGGATGGTCAGAAATACGAGACAGAAAAATCTACATGTCTATCTCTTAGGAATCTTCTCTTGCTGTTGCCTTCTTTTCCTTGAGCTCAAATTGTGTTTATTCCCACTGGTAAACATGATAACCCAAACATTCATAGTTTTTTTTTTCCCTAGAGCCTTGGAAATATTCATTTTAACTGTGGTAAGTGTAAATTTTTATCATCTGAGGAGTTTTAGCTGATTGGTTCACACTTGCTGCTTCATGAAGCAAACCTGACAGGTGTCTTCCAGACAAGGTCAACATCAGCCCTTCTTCCCCTACAACTGCCACTGTTGGGAGACCCTCGAGGGCACCCATATTTGTACACACAGACACTGCATGCCCTGCATGTTCCTCTCCCATCACCTTGGCCTCACCCTGTGCTGCCTCCCTCCAGGAGCCGGCGGTAGGTGGCGATTTCCTTCTCCAGGTGGGTTTTGATGCCCAGGAGCACGTTGTACTCATTGTTCTGACGCGCTAGGCCACAGCGTAGCTGCATCAGCTCCTCCTCATAGTGGGCAATGAGCTGCTGCACGTCCTGGAGCTGACAGGAGTACCGGGATTGGGTCTCTGACAACATGTTTTCCAAAGCGGATTTCTAAAAGAGGACATGATACGTCTTTCACTGAGCAATGGTTTGACAAATTCAGCAGCGTGTGCTTGTTCATTAGTTTCTGCTGACCATGCTGCTGATGTCTTGGTAACTATGTGGACATAAAGATAAGAAACAGGCTGATTTACAGGTCTGGGGCTTGGGCTGGCAGTGGTGGGACTTCTGATGCCATTTTCTGGGCATAAAACCATTATATCAGGGGGTTCTTGGCAACTCTGATGCACTCCTGCAGTGCTGATGGTCTGTGCTAGGTATTGGGGATTGGGCACAGGCTGCTTTGCTCTGAGCTGTTCCTTACTGATGCTTCCATTCTCTCTCTGGCCAGATGGAAAACTCCAAGAGGAAGACAACAACCTGGGTTGCTGTCTCTTTCTACCTTCAGAGAAGGGTCTTAAGTAGGCATGCCACATTCAATAGAGGACACACATTTAAATTTGAATTTCACTGGAACATCAAATAACTTTTTTGGACAAATAGGTCTCAAATGTAATGCTCAAATTGCACAGGACATATTTATACTTAAAAGAGAAAATTTTAGATATTTATTTAAAATTCAAACTAAATGGAGTGTCCTATGTTTTAACTTGGTAAATCTAGCAATCTTGGTCTCAAACAATGTTTTTTGCTTATAACAACAGTAACAAATTGTCAATTCTGAGGACGTTCTAAAATTTCAAAACCAATACAGAGGACTGAGTTCAAGTTCCTGTTCTGTTTGGATTTAATACTGGCTTTTGTGGAGCACATAACTTTAAACTTCAAGGGAAAATTATACCTGGTTTGGATGTTTAATTTTTTCAGGGTCTGTTATGTTGCATGGCCATTAAACCACATTTCTCTGGTACCACATTCCTCTCTTTTCTGAAAGGGCTATTTCATTCTTTCTTCTCTGTCCTCCAAACTCCTCTCCTCCTCTCCTTTCTCTCAGCTCACAGCCAATGTACTTGAGGGAATGAATGCATCAGGAGAGAACTCTGACAAGTTCCTGCTCTTACTTCCATCTGTGAACTTGAACCTGTGTCCAGTTACTCATTCCTTGGTTATGATGTACGGGCTGTCTGTGTCTGAGCAAATTTAATGAATTTGCTCTCTTCTCTACTAGATTATTCAACCTTAGTTTTCTCCCTTACATGTTCTCTCCCTTCATCTATCTTCCAGTTTCTTTCCAGCAGCTATTACCTGCTGTTTCAAATTCTTTTTGACTGCCTCCTCCAATGTAACCTACAAGTCCTACACTTCCTGGATCCATTGCAACCCCATGGCCTCCCCTCTCTTCTCTCTCTTCCCCACTCCTCCTCTGCTCAGTATGGCTGCAGCCATATTGGTTTTCCTTCTGTTTCTCCAAATTATAGGGCATATTCTCTGTCTTGTGGCTTTTGTATTTTCTGTTTCTTCTTCCACCTGGGACACCTCCCTCCAATCCCATAGCCACATAAAGCACCACTTTATCTCTTTTAGGACTTCACTCAGCTGTCATCTCTCAGTAAAGCCTCTTCTGATCACCTTGTTTAAAACAGCAGCTTGTCAGTCTGCCACATCTTACCTTTCCCATGCTTCATTTCATTCTACTGATTTTCTCCATCTGACAGACTATACATTTTGATAATTTGCACATTTATTATCTGTTATCCTCACTCCTTCACCATCAAATTCTCAGTGCTAAGAATAGTGTCACACAGTAGAATGCATGAAAATGGATATAAATGCCTCACCAACTTTGTGAAATAATGTAGGTTAAAATGTCTTGAAAGCTGCAGAACACTTTCCTGCCATTAGGTTCTCATTAATGTCACCTCAATAGTGCACATTTTCATATCCGTTCACCATCACTAATTTATAAAACATAACATTAATCACATACACCTGCAGTACAAATTATGTCCTTTCAAGACTAAGGTAGTGTACTATGAAGGAGTAACAGTGATGAATGATTGGAAGATTCAATAAGCTATGAAAGGAGTCAAATGATAGATTAAATTTAATGAATTTTGAAAGCTTATGACACTCATACAAAGCGTTTAGCAAGCCATGGAGATGGTAGAGTTGATTTAGAGATAAGGATTTACAGTTTCTTGTGTGATAAGACAAAACATAATGAATAGAGCAGTACTTTGGAGTCAGCCAGGCCTAGATTTGCCACCAAGATTCCTCTGTATTAAAGATTAGGGGTACCTGGGTTCCACATGGAGAGAGCCTTGATAGAGATTATGGGGGGTGTCGTAGGACCTCTCATTTCCCAACTTACCAATTGTGTGGCCCTTGCCAATTTAACTGTTTGGAACTTTGTTTTCCTCATTTCTAAAATGGGGACACTAAGACTTAACTGGAAAGGCTAATGTGAGGATTAACAACATTTAACATAATAAACTACCCAGGAAACATCTGGACACTATAACTGAACTTCTTATTATCATTCCCATCATGAACAATTTGGATGGAAAGGGGAACATTAGAGATGTCCCAAGGGAATTGGGGAGTTAGGGACAGGCTTTATGGAACAGGTAGTATGTGACCCGGGATGCTTAGCTGTAACTCACCTTGTTGCGCTGAGTTTGCAGGTCAATCTCTAGGGCCTGGAAAGTGCGCTTCAGCTCGTGGATGTTACTTTGGCCACTCTGCACAGGTGTTGAACTGGCCACCTCCTGGGACATGGCAGCAGCTGACTGTGAACCAAGCACAGGCAGAAGCATCGGCATTGGGACCACACGGCAATGGAAACTTCAGAGGTCTGTCTACCTTTCTCTTACCTGCTCTTTAAACCAAGTGTCCAAGTCTTGATGCTTCTTCTTTATTATTTGCTCGTATTCCTGCCTCATGTCCTCTAATACCTTAATTAGATCTTCCCCTGGAGTCGTGTCCACCTTCACATTGACCTTGAAGTCATTTGGCATGTGATACTCCTCCATTTCCTGTTTAATAACAGAGAAGAAATGAATTGGTCCTGTTGATCAGAAGGCTGATGGTTGTGTTGGCTGGCAGAGGTAAATAGACCTTTATTTACTTTATTCAGGCGGTTGCTATGCTTTCCCTGGTGTGTTTTTTTAGTTATTACTTGTTAATGACAAAATATTATATACATTTTTCCTCTAAAACTTCTATACAATAAAGAAAAAGCACAAGGTAGGTAATCAAATGACCTCAATGATTACTGACTTAATCCCTGGTTGAAAATATTTCAGAGGCAAGTATGTGTTGAAAATTCTTTCCCCCATTGGTGAAGTGACTGTACAATTAAGCAATTAAATATTTCTGGTTTTCAGCCAGAGCTTTTGGGAAGCAGTTCAATAACCAACAGCCAAAAGATGAAGAGTCATTTATAATCTCATGCCTATGCCTCTGTAGAGCATGACAATTTAGGAGTTTATGAAAATCAAGTGGCCACAGGAAAGGTTTAATTAAGAATCACTGTCTAACCGGCTATTCAGAAACTGGATTCTTTGATGTTCATAAGCAATATTTTTTTCAGAAGCAATTTTTATCTGTCTAAAATAGGAATTGTTTTTCTATCATTTTATCAGTTGGAGGGACTTAAGATGAATGGTAACTTTTAAAAAGTCAGTTAAATGCTCTGGAAATGAGGATTCTTATTTTTTTGCCACAGGTCATATTGACCTTGGTCTGTACCAGATTCTTTTTATTCTATTGTCCTCATTTGCTGCATGTCGGACCCTTGAAGGAAGTTCAGTTACACATATTTATTCTTCTTGTATATTACCAAACAAGTCCAGGTAAATAGTTTGTCTGTTAAAACTGCCAGCTGATTCATCACTAATTATGATTGCATTTTGGTAGTTAGGTTTTACATCTGAGTAGATAACCTTGAAATTGGAGAAATTAGGTATTAATATGATTCTTTATGAAGACAATAGTACTGGTTCAGGTGGCACTTTCTCCCGTGGCTATTGGATCACCCTGGAATGTGCAGGTTAAGAGTTGGCCCATTGCTGGGAGATACCTGCTCATGGCGCTTCTTCATGAGGATGAGCTCTTTCCTCATTCCCTCCACCTCCTGTTCCAGGTCCGTCGTGACAATGGTCAGGTCATCCAAGGTCTTCCGGAGCCCCTCAACTTCAATTTCCAAGTCTTTCTTAAAGGAGTGTTCATTTTCATACCTTTGGTTGGAAGGAAGGGAAGAGCACCCCTGTTGTTGGAAGGTCATGGGCTTTGTAAGGATTCACCTTAGTTTAGAGTTGAATCCCTTACTTTTCAGGTCTAATCTGAGCAAATGAACATGTACAGGACGCCCTTTGCTCATCTGTTTCATGCTATGCTTTTCTATGATGGTGTCTCAAGTGTCATTTTTAAAAATTGAATAGAGAGAATAGAACAATAAGCAGTCATATACCCATTACTGAGCTTTAGTAACTGTTAGTATTTTGTCAAATTTCTCTCATCTATATTCCTTGCTGAAGCTTTCAAAACAAATTACAGGTACTATGACATTTTAACCTAAATGCTTCAGAATGTATCTTTTAAGAAAAAGATATTTTTCTAAATAAGCATAATATAATTATTATACCTAAAACTAAGAATTCTTTTTTTTTTTTTTTGGGTGGAGGGTGATTCTAAGGGTTGAACTCAGAGCTTTGCACTTGTCAGGCAGGTGCTCTACCACTTGAGTAACACCTTAAGTTCTTTTTGCTCTGGTTATTTTGGAGATAGGGCATTGCTTTGTGCCCAGGCTGCCCTGCACCATGATCCTCGTGTTTTAAGCTTCCCGCCGTAGCTGAGATGACAGGTGTGAGCTACCACATCCAGCTTTTTTTTTCCTCATTGAGATAGGGCCTCACAAACTTTTTTTGATTTGCCTGGGCTGGCCTCAAACCTTGACTCTTTGGATCCCAGCCTCCCAAATATCTAGGATTACAAGCGTGAGACACTAGTGCTCAGCTAAGAATTATTTAATATTATCTGACTCTTGGATTCATATTCAAATTTCTCCATACTATTTCATGCACTTTATATCTGGTTTGTTTAAAGTAGGGTCCATTCAACTTCTGGACATGGTATTCATCATCATTATTATGCCATTTATTATAATTCAGAAAGATTTTAGATGTGGGTAATGGCAAGATGAGATTTCCTTTGGTAAAGCAAACAAAAAAAAATATCCACACAACACTGTGAAGAAGGAACTTACTTGAGGCTGAAGTCATCCACTGCCATCCTGGCATTGTCAATGAGGACAATGATCTGAGCATTGGTTGCCTTACCGCCCACTATCTGTAAAACATGTACCCAGAATTATTTCAGTTGGACAGACCCACACATGACAGCTGTCTTTCTGCCCTTCACTTTCCTGGGTATGTGGCTTTCAGCACAGACTTCTTTGTCTGCAGTGAAATGGGGAGATCAAATCATTACGTATTTCTTGAGCACCAGCACATACTAGGCACACAATATGGAGTGATACTATAGCAAGGATGTTTCAGTCAGTTTCACTGTTTTTTGACAGGCTGGCTTTGATGTAATGGTTGAAAGAATGATATAGGGAGAGGAAGGACAGTGATTGTTCAAAATGCCTTCCGACTCTCTGGTATTGTGAACATGTTTTGATTAAGCTCCTCACATCTGAAAATGTTAAAAGGAGTTTAGGTTCTCAGCCTTTTCTTTTTGTGAATGTTAGTTCAGCTCTCCTACAGTGCAGTAATGATTACTTTAGATGAATATAATTCTTAACTCAGTAACTGTGTAAATAATATGTTAGCGTCACAGAAATAGTGCACATTTGATGTATGTCACCATCTTTGGGAAAATGGGGTGGAAAAGACCTCATTGTCCAAAGGTATTATATACTTTTTTTACCAAGTATTGTGCCAAATTAGAAACTGGAGCCTTGCTTTGTTCTGGCTCTCTTCCTGACCATTCACGTGGTCTTGGGTCATCACTCCACTCTGGTGCTTCAGTTTCATCATTTGTTAAATAAAGAGATGAAAACAGGTGAGCTTAGAAGTTCCCACTCTAAACTTCTGTAATTTAGTTGGAGTCAGAGAATTCTGTGATATTATAATTGCATTCATATAGCTAATTCCTTTATTTAGAAAGGATTTTCATAGGACAAAACTATTCCTCAATACAAAGGCATCTTTTAACCATCTGTTCCTATTTAAAGCTCCACTGACTACTTGGAATGTGGTCTCAAGAGTGCACAATAGCAGCCTTTAGAAGTGGTAAGAAGCTGCTGGGCCTGGAACCCAACGAGCAGGGCAGGGATCCTGCTCCAGCACCCACGAGCTGAGTGAGCTCAGTGAATCTCAGTTTCTTCAACCATAAAATGCACCACCAACAAGAATAGCTACTTCCTCAAGAGTTATGAGAATTGAATTAGAAGATATTGAACAAAAATGATGCTATAAGATGGCATATTTCTGGCAAACTAGAGATGCTCTGAAAACTTTGTTGGAATGGAATTTGTTCAAATGAATATTACACAATTTTCTTTAAAAAAAATAGTCCTTTAGTGATTAGAGTTACTGTCTGCATTAGATAAAGCCCCAGCTTTTGTATGTTGAGATGGACCCTCCAACATTTGCTGTTTACGGTGGGAAACAGCTGGGGACCTTCCTCATTGACTGTCCCTTCCAACATCCTTCTTCCCTTTGTGGTATTCCAAATTGTTCTATGACTTCTTCCTTTGCCCTAAAAATGGAAACTGTAGGTATTTTCTTGTCTCCTGTCTACAGTGCAGCTCTGGGGCAGTCTTACTGATGCTTTTCCTTCCAAGCCCCTATTCTTTTCATTATCTGATCTCATGCAAAATGAAAAGTAGCTCCATTTCCCCAAATCCTAGGACTCTTAGGATTGGCTTTACTTCCTTGTATGCTGAATTACTCTATTTGACACATGCAATGAAGTTTTGATTCACATCCAGGAAACTTTGCACTACAAACCACAGAATCAGAAAAGCAAAAATAACCCTCTGTGGGTTTATTTGGTTTTTCTGAGTTAAACTGGTTATTTCTCCATTGCAAAGCCCACATCAAATCTCTAATTCTCCCAGCGAGGATTCTCATGGTTCATGAGTGTAAGTTCTGAAATGTACACTTAAAACTATTTCCTACCATTCAGGCTTACTTGCTATGGTATTATTGATGCATCCACTATTTCTGAGACATCCTCTATGGTCATTAATGGATGAGGATGGATTGAGAAATAATACATGCAGCAAAGGTTTTATATTGTATGTTGTAATAACCACTTGGATTCTCTCCAAGGTCTTGAGTTCATTCTTTTAAAATCTTGTTGGTGCTTCAGGGTGTCTAATCTCCTATCAGGAACAGAAAAATAGACTTTTTGACCATAATAAAAACACCAAATATAGTACTATTAAGAACCATTTAGGGATATATATAGATATATGGCATATATCTATATATATAGCATATATATAACATACATATGCAACATTCCTATGACTATGTCTAATTCTGTGTTTCAAAAGGATTGAATTAATTTTTGAACTTAATTTTTATAGATTTTTGGCCTAACATTTAAAATTCCCAAAGGGAGGACAGAATGCTGTTGTACTTGGAGTATTTCATCAAGGCCCAGGATGGGGCCAATGTCAGGTAACTGGGGGACCACTGTTTCTCATCTGCAAATGGAGGATACTGGAAAAATAGATAATTTCAACCTTGAAGAACTCTGGTTTCTTCAAAGCCAGAGAGAATGAAAAATCTGAAGTAAAGTCCAGAAAAGAGTGGATGTTGAAGCTGAAGAAACTTCTATTTAGTCTCAGAATGTGGAATTCTGGCCATCCCGAGAGAGGGCAAGTTGCCCCCTCCTCATAATTGTACCCCCTCACTTTTCTCAATTCTACCCTAAAGAATTTAGACAATTACTAGTCTTTTATTCTATAAGTTGGGGATAAAACTACCTGATTCAGTTAAATGTGATGTGAATGAAATGTGTGTGGCATGAATACTACTACAAATGTGGTGCCTTGTCTTTATAAATAATAAGTAAATACCATCTTCAAGTGAGGTAGGCTAGTCAGCATGATGCTTAGGTGGGAATTGTGAGGCGCTGGAAACAGACCTGAGTGAGAATCACACCTTTGCCTCTTACTGGTGGCTTTGGAAGGCTTTTTCACTTTTCTGAGCTTCAGTTTCCTAACAGTGTTGTTGTGAGAATTAAAACAGATAACATAGAACAATCCTGTCACTGTAGAAAGCTCTTAGCACAGATATGTATATTGAATATCCAACATAAGGCCTGCCATACAAGAAATGCTCAATAATTATTTCCTTCCCCTTTTCTTCCTTTCCTTCCTTCTCTCTTATGCTAGTGAGTAGATTATTTCATTCAGTTTAACCTTACATTTATTTTGGGAGTCATACTTTCTGTTCTCCATTCATAAACATCTCCTTTTCCCTTCATTCTCAAACCAAAGCAACTTTATGAAATGAAAAACACGGTGAGGATGTTGAGTCACCTTGTTTTCTTCGTAAAGACAACCATGCAGTATGTAGTTAAGGTAATTACACACTCAGTTATTAGGTTGATTATTCAATAATTAGGGTTCATTACAAGGACAGATTTATATTATCTTGATTGGTCCTTCCTACATTCAAGCAAGGATGACTTGAGTATTGTGAAATAATACAGTATAAATATTGGAAGCTTATCATGCCCTTGTTTGGTAGGGTAAAGCATGATCTTACAGGGATTTTCTGGGACTGTTTTATAAAAGAGGGAATTTATATAGCTTTTAAAAAAATACTTGGTGAGATTTCTTTACTCCCTCTGCTTGCAACTGGACATCCCAGAAGGTATGCATTTAGCTTGTTATAAATACTTGGTTGACAAACTATCTTTTTGAAATATGTCTCTATAATCCATCCCAACTCTCAGATTTTAAAACTTATACTCATTTTATTATTTTTTTTCTAGCAATATGCCATCATTCTTACAACTGTGAGCAATTTATCTTCTAGCACCCCCCCTACCCTCAGAATACTCAGGGATGTCACAATGATAACCTCTGCTATTGGAGTGACAGCTTTTAGGTGTGATCTGCACACCAGTTTAACTCAGCCTTTTGTTGTTAGATAGCCACATTGCTACCAGGGCTTTGAGGTGGAGCAGAACTGATGTAATGAGAAAGTAAATACTCTCTGTGCCTTGTGTACCAGGCATGCAATATGCATACTAGCCCTTACCATTTCTGTGACATTGTTGAATCATAAGTGATATTGCAGAGACTGGCTGTCTTATATTTTTCAGGTTTTTTTTTTTTCAAAAATTTCAAGTCTGAAAAATCAGTTTTTTTAAAATATAATACTTCTGTAATTTTTGAGTCTTCATTTTCTGTGATTTATGTATAGAAATTTAATTATACAAAAGCTTTCCCAAGTCCATATTTAAGTAATAACAAGAAGGCATCCTCAAATATCTCTGTGAACAATTACTTTGAGCTCTTTTGCCATTTCCTTGGAACCTTTTTCCTCCCCAGGGTCCCCTGGCAATGTGGCACCACCTCCAGCTGCAGGGTCACTCAGCGTCTTACCTGCTCCTGCAGGTGGCTGATGTTTTCCTCATAGTGGGAGTAATCTTTCTTGTTGCCTGGATCTCTCTGCTGGTGCCACTGCAGGATTTGGCTTTCCAGCTTCAAGTTGGCCTCTTCCAGGGCATGCACCTTGTCCAGGTAGGAGGCCAGGCGGTCATTGAGGTTTTGCATGGTGACTTTCCCATTTCCACCTAGGAGGGAACCTCCTCTTCCTGACCCCCAAGACCCTCCAGAGGGCAGGCAGCTTGGCTTGGTGATGGAAAGGGAGATGCGGACACCTCCGGCGCCTCCATGGACACTGGGGGCTCGGGGGAAGCTTCTCAGCCGGCCCCAGCTGTTTCCAATGCCATGGAGGGAGGCGGAGTGGATCTGGCTAAAGCTGTGGCTGGAATTCATGGTCCCATCTGTGTTTGGCATAGGGCTGGACTCTGCTCTGCTCCCTGGCACTGCAAAACTAAGCTGCCCCAAACTGCCCTGCATAGTTTTATGCCCTTTGCTGTGGGAGTTTCCTTCTCTGACAACTGTACCAACAAGATCCTATCATTGTGCAACATGTGTTTCCTCTTGGTCAATCCTGAAGTGCCCGTGGGCCAACAGGCATTGTTGTTTAGAGCCACAGCAATATGCCAGTTTGCTTCCTCCCTTCCAGTTGTAACCTGGAGGTGTGGCCTACGACATCAGGTGGGTAGTAGTATCAGGTGTCTTTATAATCTCCCCGTGGAATTTTTCCATTGTCTATTTATCTGAAAAAGGTCAGATTAAAGCCCACATTAAGGTTATTTTGGTGTGGCACAAATTTTCTTTTTAAAAAGCAGACATTAAACACACACACACAAACACATACAAACTGGCTGTAAATCGAGGGTGGGAGGAACTCAGTGAGGGAGAGCCAGATCAGAACAGTTTCAGGTCCTGGAAGAAAACATACTTGTGTGCGGAAGGTAACAGAGAGGACTCTAAATATCTGATTCTTTTGTGGCAGTCACTGTTTGATGGAAAGTAATTTCAAAGGAATCACTTGTTAGAACAAACCCTCAATTATACATGAAATTAATTAATGAATGACCGAGCCTTCCGCTTCCAGGCTGCCTTTCATCCCAGCACACCTCAAAACCAAACAACCCAGTCTGTGCCCAGCACTTGGGGAATAATTCAGTCCTTGTTAACTGCCCAGTAGCCCAGTCCCAGCTGAGCTCTAGGATGGATGACTTCTGGGTCTGTGACCTGCAGCAGGAACAGCTGACATCAGGAAGAGTGCCATGGGTTGTTTAACATGCTTGTTTATTATGTTTGATGAATCCTATACTTCCTTTGCCAAGATAAAGTTTAGGAATGAATAAAGATAAAGTCTGGGGCAGGAGCTATGTGCTTACTAGTGACTTGATTTAAAGGGGATTTAGAAGTAAAATGTCAGCATTGAAAGAGACTTTAGCATTATTGGTTCAACACCACTAATTCTGCAGATAGGGACAACTGAGGTGGAAGGGTTGGGTGCGCGAAGGGTGGGTGAACAGGAAAGACAAATGGTGAGTTAGTAGTAAAGACACAGAGGGATTCTTTCTGTCATATGGCACTGTTATCAGTGAGTTGGGCTAAGATGGGGCCCTGTATACACTTCTCTCATGGTGGTAATGGGACTTCCCAGTTTATGTAGCCCTTTGCTTTTCCTTATTTAATTCTCATAACTCTTACTGCAGCCAGGCAAGGGTAGTTGTCCCTATTTGTGTGTGTGTGTGTGTGTGTGGTGCTGAGGATAGAACCCAGAGTCCTGTGCATGCGAGGCAGTACTCTACCACAGAGCTACACTCCCAGTCCTTTGTCCCCATTTTGCAGGTAAAGGATCAGGGCTCATAGAGGTGAACGGCTCAGAACTGATTTGCATATACAGTCTAATTGAGCACATGAATTTGTAAGTGTCCCTGCCTTGGTCTGTGTTGTCCCCTCGGCCTGGAAAGTCACACACTCCTGCTTTCCCTTGTAGTTCAAGGATTAGCTCCTTCAATAATCATTTTCTGAATTCTCCTGCGTGAATTGGGCACACCTACTCGGAGGATATTCCTCACCTGGATCCAAGCTACTCCGGTGAGTCTGACCACTTGGCATCCCCGACATTCTGTGGAAGCTGGGCATCAACTGTCTTCTCTGTCTGGCAGAGTCTCCCCTGCACTTTACTGACCACAACACATACACATTTGTCACATGCGCTGAGACTGCAGCCTTCTGGAAAGCAGGGATTATGTCTTCCATCTTCCAAGCCCCATTTCATAAATGGGTGTTAACTCAGTAATGAACTTTTTAGAGTTGAGATTTTAACTTAGAGGGCCAGGGGTATAGCACAGTGATAGAGTTCTTTCATTCACAAGGCTCTGGGTTTGATCCCCAACACTGCAGGGAAGGAGAGAGAGAGAGAGAGAGAGAGAGAGATAGAGAGAGAGAGAGAGGAGAGAGAGATTTTAATTCAGGCCCTCTGATACCATCACTTCCTAACAGGAAAAAGCCCCTTTGGGACTGGACCAGTCATCTACAAAGGCCAATTTGTTTCTAATTGCAAGTAAAACCATTGGAGCACACCAGCTGTCCTCCTTCTATTCCAGTGACCTTAGTAAGGAGAGGCCACTGGGTTTTCCTAATCTCATTGTGCACACCCTGGAAAAATTTAGCCATGACTAAAGGAAACTTGGAGGAATGCTTAGAAGGAGTGCTGTGGCCACTTACATCTCTAGCATGAAAAGGGAGTAAAGGGAGTACTGTGGTTTGAGTGGTCCTTCCAGAGCTCATGCTGACATTTATTCCCCATTATGAGGTATTAAGAGATGGCACCAATTGGGACATTTAAGACATCGTTAGGTAATGAGGTCCTGCCCTCACGAATGGGTTAATCCATGAATTAAAGGATTATCTGGTTAGTGGGTTACCTTGAGAGTGGATCTGTTATAAAAGCCAGTCCGGCTCTGTCTCTTGTATGTGTCTCCCTTGCCCTGTGATACTGTGTACCACTTCAGGACTCTGAAGAGTCCTCACCAAGAAGTTCCTTGCCAAATGCAGCCCTCAACCTTGGACTTGCCAATCTCCAGAACCGTAAGAAATGAACTTCTCAGGTATTCTGTTATGGCAACAAAAGATAGATATGATGAGAGCAGAGTAAGCGAGGGAAACCTAGAAACTACTTAGATGTGTGGCAGTAAGCCACATGTTGATGTGGTTCCTGGTCACTGGTTTTGATCAAGGTTGTGCTTGGCTCTAGTTCCTGTTGACGTGGCCCCAGCCTCAGTGAGGAGAACAGCCACACCAGTATGTGCAAGCTCAGGCTTCACTCTCTCACCAGAAATCCCCACAATGGAACATTGATCAACGGTCTTAACTCATTTCAGGTGTGTCTGAGAGGCAGGGACTTACTAGCCCCCTAAATTTGGCCCATGTCTCATTTTGCATCAGTGTGTGGGAGTTCTGATTTGTAAGTTAATCTTGAGCAAATGTTTTTTTTTTTTGAGCAAATATTTCATGTATCATATAGCACGATCTAGCTGGGAAAAAATGGTGGTGAAATTTGAGAGGATGGGGGAAGCAATCTCTTCTCGTATCATCATGCAATGCTTTTCCTTGTAACTGGGGAGAAGTTTCCATAAGATTTTAAAAGAAATGAATGGGCTTTTTTTCTGGTAAAAAAAATTGATGCATGCTTTTTAAATATTTAGTTAATATATGAAAATGCAGGAAAAAGACTTTTTTTCTTTTATTATTCATATGTGCATACAAGGCTTGGTTCATTTCTCCCACCTGCTCCCACTCCCTCCCTTACCACCCACTCCGCCCCCTCCCTCTCCCCCCTACCCGCTCAATACCCAGCAGAAACTATTTTGCCCTTATCTCTAAATTTTGTGTAGAAGAGAGTATAAGCAATAATAGGAAGGAACAAGGGTTTTGCTGGTTGAGATAAGGATAGCAATTCAGGGCATGACTCAACATTGATTTCCTGTGTGTGGGTGTTACCTTTCTTTAGGTTATTTCTTTTTTTTTTTTTTCTTTTTCTTTTATTATTCATATGTGCATACAAGGCTTGGTTCATTTCTCCCCCTGCCCCCACCCCTCCCTTACCACCCACTCCACCCCCCCTCTCCCCCCCCCCAATACCCAGCAGAAACTATTTTGCCCTTATTTCTAATTTTGTTGTAGAGAGAGTATAAGCAATAATAGGAAGGAACAAGGGTTTTTGCTGGTTGAGATAAGGATAGCTATACAGGGCATTGACTCACATTGATTTCCTGTGCGTGTGTTACCTTCTAGGTTAATTCTTTTTGATCTAACCTTTTCTCTAGTTCCTGGTCCCCTTTTCCTATTGGCCTCAGTTGCTTTTAAGGTATCTGCTTTAGTTTCTCTGCGTTAAGGGCAACAAATGCTAGCTAGTTTTTTAGGTGTCTTACCTATCCTCACCCTCCCTTGTGTGCTCTCGCTTTTATCATGTGCTCAAGTCCAATCCCCTTGTTGTGTTTGCCCTTGATCTAATGTCCACATATGAGGGAGAACATACGATTTTTGGTCTTTTGGGCCAGGCTAACCTCACTCAGAATGATGTTCTCCAATTCCATCCATTTACCAGCGAATGATAACATTTCGTTCTTCTTCATGGCTGCATAAAATTCCATTGTGTATAGATACCACATTTTCTTAATCCATTCGTCAGTGTGGGGCATCTTGGCTGTTTCCATAACTTGGCTATTGTGAATAGTGCCGCAATAAACATGGTGTGCAGGTGCCTCTGGAGTAACAGTCTTTTGGGTATATCCCCAAGAGTGGTATTGCTGGATCAAATGGTAGATCAATGTCTAGCTTTTTAAGTAGCCTCCAAATTTTTTTCCAGAGTGGTTGTACTAGTCTACATTCCCACCAACAGTGTAAGAGGGTTCCTTTTTCCCCGCATCCTCGCCAACACCTGTTGTTGGTGGTGTTGCTGATGATGGCTATTCTAACAGGGGTGAGGTGGAATCTTAGTGTGGTTTTAATTTGCATTTCCTTTATTGCTAGAGATGGTGAGCATTTTTTCATGTGTTTTTGGCCATTTGAATTTCTTCTTTTGAGAAAGTTCTGTTTAGTTCACTTGCCCATTTCTTTATTGGTTCATTAGTTTTGGGAGAATTTAGTTTTTTAAGTTCCCTATATTCTGGTTATCAGTCCTTTGTCTGATGTATAGTTGGCAAATATTTTCTCCCACTCTGTGGTGTTCTCTTCAGTTTAGAGACCATTTCTTTTGATGAACAGAAGCTTTTTAGTTTATGAGGTCCCATTTATCTATGCTATCTCTTAGTTGCTGTGCTGCTGGGGTTTCATTGAGAAAGTTCTTACCTATACCTACTAACTCCAGAGTATTTCCTACTCTTTCTGTATCAACTTAAGAGTTT